TGCAGTGACTATGTTTGATGGCCAAAGAGGCATGACGACGTAGTAAGTGTCTCAGTGGCTGATGGGTATCCCCACCATCAGTAGATTGCAATGCTATTTCAAGTACAGCAGAAGTAAAAAAGGAATTCAGTTGTTATTCACGATCAAATTTATGCTAACTGAATAGTACTACTGTTTAAGCCGCTGAGTACCCTTACTTCGGTAGGGCATCAATAACAGTACACCGCTTAGCCAGCACTACAGGTAGCCGGAATTTGGTGTCTTGCTTGTTCATAAGGTCCATTTCCTGGACGGAAAACTACTTCTATACTCATGTCTGCGAATCATAGTACCATTTCCAGCTTGCAACGCGGAACATGGCTTGCCGTAATATCGATCCGAAATACTATTTATAACATTCAGATATCATAAATCTGCATTTTGCAGTAGTTTCTACGTTGCTAGCCAAAATTTCATGTACAGCAGAAGTACCAAAGCAAATGCGAGCACTGAAAAAATCAGGACTCGATCAGGCAACCAATTCGACTCTTTCTGCAGTGCTTGATCTATAAAATTTCGAAATGGTCCACTACGCGTATACAAAACACCGATGTTTCGGATTCAGCTGAATCCACCTTCAGGGGACATTGTGTAATTTCGATAGCAAAAACGGTCAGTCATCTAACATATTGTAGAATCGTCAAAAGGCGCAAATATGATCAACGAACTGTTGATATGTACTGTACAAGCAACGACATTTTTTACACTGTATTTTGCATTTTTACATTAGGACCCTTGAGGAAGGACCTAGCTGGAACGAAAATCATGAGATCTTTTGTAACAAAATTTTTTATATGCAAAGGAAATTTTTACATGAAGATTTTATCGACAAAAAGCTCACTTTCCTCATAAAGAATTCAAGTAGTCCTTTTAAGACTGCGGCATTACATGTAAACTATTAAGTTGTATACGGTATCTTTATGTTGTGAAAAATATTTCTGATGACGGCTTCAATGAGAGAAGACGACTAGTCGGAATGAAATAAAGGATTATATGATGTAACGATGAAGGAGATAATTTATCTTTGGGATGTATTGAAAAATAACGTTCTGAAATTGTAGGCATGAATGATTCGGTTTTCAGCGGTAGCAATAAAATCATATGATCACAAACTACGAATGTAATTTAAGCATAATAAGAGGGAAAGTGATAACACCTTGAGAATACTGAGCAGTCTTGCGAACAACTGTTGCAAGGCAAGTACATAACATGAATAGCAGTACTTGTAAGGCAGTACTGCACATTCTTCAGCAAATGGCAAGTTGCACTAAACAAATGCTGCTATTGCATAGTTGACACATTAGTGCCACAACAGCAGAAACAGCTGAGGATAAAGTTACTCTAGCATCTATACAACGGTATCATTTAGCCATCGAAACGAGACGTTTAATTCGGCACTAAAAATCACATAGACTGAAACGTACTATTATCTGGTCGTCAACATATTCGTGCAAGCAGAAGAGAGACAGCGCCAAAGAACTAATGCAATCTTCAAACGGTAATACGTTGGGAGTACTGAAACACGTACTATGATGAAACTAGATATCTCGCTGGCCGCAATATTCCATTACCACTCCGTCGATACAATATTATGGGAAATTCAAAAATACCTACGTACGACTGAAGAAAAATGTTCAGAAATCTAGAAATAAGCAAATTTCAGCGTAGTCAATCCTGTAACGGGCTTCGCACTAGCTGAAAAGACTGCCAACAGAAACAGAGAGTAGGCTTAATCCAGTAATCTAGTTTCCGCATTTCTAACGGTACAGAAAAGACCAAGCATCAAGACTACTTATAGTGGCGTTCTGTTAGTCACGATGGATCGTTTCAGCAAACGAGGCGACCTTTACCACAAGCATTTCGCGCTAGATGACAGGTGATAGCACCTGGTCGTAGTGCAGCACTGTTAGATTACTTGAAAAAAGACTCATTGGTACCGATGGATGTCTGAATAGTTTCTTCGGTTCTACTACTGTAGCATTTCCTAGAGTGCTATAACGACGAGGTAATGGTATACTGCAACCAGTAAGATGGCCAATTCTCACAATAATACGCAATTCTCTGGTTTCACTGTACTACCTTTTGCACACTGCGCTCGTTCTTTAAGCGTTGCTTCTTTTGTAGTTGCAGAAATGTTGTGCCGACCAGAAAATAGTTCATCTTAGTCTATGTGATATTAAGTTTTAGATTAAAAGTCTAATCACGCTGCCTAAACGTTGGAATTCTTCTGCCCAATTGATTCTGCTTGATTTGCAGCAATAATGTCTCAACCATACCATAGTACCATTTATTTACTGCAACATATCATCCATTAGGGAATCATAGAGTACTGTATGAAAAGTACAAATGCAAGAATACTGACAGTGGAGTAGGTACTCGCATTTCGAGCTTTAGTAGCCTTCCAGAATACAAAATGGAAAGATTCAGAGCCGTTCTGTCTTAGCTGAAAGGTACCATTAGCACCAATTACCTGGTCGCGACAATAAAAAAACCAGAAAGTGATGTGCGCAGAATTTTGCCATCTAGACAGAGATATCTGTCAGGCAGTACTACATATCACACGAACAATAAGTACTACTATATGTGCTGTGGACCATTTCGGCCATTGCATTTCCTTTAATTTCGCTATAAGTACTGTACTTGAATGACCAGTTATCTTCGGAATATCATTTTCAATGTATACCAATGTCAGTTAAACAGTCCATTGATCGATAATCAGCGTGTATCATGCATCATGCAATCGATGCCATATACAATCTACAGATTAAGACTATATCCTCGGCTGCAATCTAGGCTGTAGGCTGTAATCTGCACAGCATTCAATGATTTTCTACGGGGAACACGCTGTGCTGAATATTATACAGAATAATCAGTTATCATGAGAATGAAGGCGAAGTGCAGCGAATACAGCAGATGGTAAACAATTTAGTGCCAACGCGTTTCACTGCACAGACCGCAGTACATTTAGTGTTGGACCAAGTACAAATGACTGCTTGAAGACAATTATGTTTAACAACGGAACAATACCAATTTCTGAATTTGCTCATCACTTACAGTCAAGACGTTGTTACACTGACTGCACAAAATATAATGTCGCCGAAATAAATAAGATCTTTGTCATTTCGACCAGATTCTGCGTATCAGTTCTGCGATTGCGCCCCTGATAACCACAGAAGACGTGTACTCATTGTGCTTTCGGTTTTTCATTACCCGTATATGCAAGGACTCCTTTATAAGCAGACCTGATTTAGACCGGTCTTTGTCTATAACAGGAACACTAGTCCAAATAAAAGAATGCCTTTCAATAATTGCATGCTGGGCAATATCTAAATCGTCAGCCTGTCCAAGACGGACTACAACAAGGTGCTGTTTATAAGGATGTTCAATTTCCGGTTGGTCTTTCGAATATACACCTTGTCGCAGTCTCTGCACTGAACTTCGCAAACAATATTTAACATTTCTTCAGGGTTATTAATGGACATGTCCAAGGAGTGTTCACACTGGACGGCATCGCCACACACTTCATCTATTCTAGCTCGAAGACAACGCAATATCAAACAATGTCTGTTATTCACAAGTCAACGACTTGACACCCGTTCGTTAGGATGGTTGCGCCGAAGCAACGTGTGGTTAATTCCTTGATCAAGGGAATTCACCAATACGACAAAGACTGTCGCTTAAGCGAACATGATTCGATTTCAACGCCTCCGGAGTTCAATGCTGACCTCTCTGTTACTCAGCCACCACGCTGCCAGCATTGATTACGCTTTTGTCATCTCATTTTACTGTGGTCACAGATTTAGTTTCTTTATATGGTCCTGGGGAGAAAAGTTAACATTAATCTCTGTTCGATATATTCCTTGGGCGCTTATGCTGACCTCTTTGACTGCTTCACAAGAGCATATATGTGGCAGGCTGAAAGTCACCACAGTATACGTACTCACAACTTAAACAACACAAAAAGCGTCCACAAAAACTATGCTGCTGAATATGTGAAGTGCTGTTAAGTCGACAGCGAAGTCATACCGACGATTCACTATGGGTGTGTACATTCACGGTGTGACGATTATCTAGGCGCAAGAATCCGTCCATCCGCCTGTTGGTCAATCAGTCGGTGGTCGGTCGGTCGGTCGGTCAGTCCATCACAGCGGTTTTCGATGACAGACTGATTCACCGTCTCCCCGGATATTCGTCGGACGTGAGTCCAATAATCCGTCAGCTTGAAGGATAATCGATGTCGAGCTGCATGCGTAATCAGTGACCTTTGTAAAGTTTCGCCAAATCGTAGCCGCCGGCGGCTGATGAATAGCACGCGTCTGACTCTGAGTCATCGTCAATCGTCAAATCACAGACAGATCATTTCTTCGTTCAAAAACCTTCTGCTACAGCCGAGCCTCCAGCAATCGACAATACAGCTCTGTCGCTGGTGCCATGCGCACAGTATCCGATTCAAAGGTGAACATCGGTACAATAGTTGACAAACGGTGATTTTAAAATGGCCGTATTCGGACATACAAACTAACAAAACTGACGTACGCTGAAGGGTCAATAGATTCAACAGTAGCTTAGCTGACTGATCTTTGAATTCATTGAACCACTCGTCCAGTTTAACTGACACCGAGCTGTACAGTGCACTGGTCTGTCGGTAATCGCCACAGTGCACCAAACGTACTCATCACTATTTTATAGACTTCAAGCAGCCATATCTTCCATTCGGCTAACCTTGGCAAAGATGCTGGTATTAATAAAACATTTTTGGATGATACCTCACTTCAAAACTTTTAAGCATTCAGTAGTCTTTAAAGAATAATTACTATATGATCGAGTAACGAACGGGCAGGTAGTGCCGATGACTCATTTACAAGACATATTTACGACAAGCGCGGTTTGATGTAGCCATGAATAGCGACTTAACATTACCGCATTCTCTTACGAGAAGCTATCACAGAAGCCTCAGGTTCGGCAGAAAAAATCTTGTGGGAAAGACACCATTCAGGCAGACCTGCGAAAGCTCATAAGTGCTTCCTTCCCGGAAGCAATGAAATCATACTTATCTACTGGCGGCCCTGCGGAGGTCATAAGTGTAAACAAATGACGATTAGACATACACTGGCGAAAAGGATACAAAGAGTTACTCTAGCAGATGCTGTAGTAATCCCCTTTATGGTCTAACTCTCTAACAGCATCAAACAGTACGTGAAGAATGGAACGTACGTGAAGTACGTTTTAAAATCTAGTACAAAATGGGCCTTAGAGTCACACAGATGTACCGGAAAATTCATCAAGCGAAAGAAAGCAAACATGGTTTGTGAGATCGTGTGTCATCAAGGCGACGAGATCTACATCGGAAAACCGTATCAAAACTGCACAAACGGTGCAGCTGCAAAGAACGGGAAAACGCAGCACTGAAGCATCGTTTCCCGCAGTTCTGCCTCGTTGCGGACACTCTCTTAATCTGTCGAATATCCCTTCTGTTGAAAAACACAAAACAAACAGGGCTATTAATTAAATGTTGGCCAAAAATGCCAACTGGGTAGCGAATGAAATAGCTCGTTTTGATTCACTGACAAATCGAATCCTGTTAGAAAAACAATGTAACAACGGATGCTGTCACTCATAGATCAC